TCTCCTCCTCCAGTGTTGCGACCCCTTGTAGGTCGCTAGCTAGCTATCGTCTCTAGGACACTAGCCAGCCCCATTGTAGTGCCTGTGCACTACAGGAGGCCACATGTTTTACGAGTGTCTGCCGCCTGCATTGTTTCACTGCATGAGGGACATTACCCAAAGGATGCTCATTGTCACACGGAAGAAGAGTCAAAGTTATAGCAAATACTTCTTTCAAAGTCGCATTCAGAGAAGATTATTTCGTTCGGTAGGCTTAATTCGAGGTAGTTTTAAAGCTAGGTAGCAACGAGCGGCTCGTGCTCATCCATTACCGAAAAAAGCTAGATTGCTCGCTCTACGAGATCACCCTTTCACAGCACGGCATCAAAGAGCTTTACTTGAGAAGAGGCGCAGCGTCTAAAGCACACGTTATATTACACTTAGGTCACGGCATGCACTTCTTGGCGTTCTGTTTCGTTTTCCGAAAGTAGTTTTCAAGGCGGCTACTGCCTCTTGCCAAGTGGCACGCGTCTTCTGACCAGCACTTGTCAGAACAAAAAATCGCAAAATGTCAGGCTCACCTCGAAGGAATTTATAAGCTAGAATGCGGGAAGAGGCTTACCCTGGCCAAACACTAGACGTCTCATGGCTGCTTACCGTGTGGGAGCGCGCTTCTAGCGCCTGCACCAGTGCAGGCCTCCTCCCCACAGGGCCTAGGAGGCGAGAACCCCGAGTGGGGGGGATTTTCAAGAGAACAGATTTTGAAAAAAAGATAAATAACTGCATTTTGTGATATTTGGAGTAGTATTTCAAGGAAATGCGCGGAAGGTAGACGATTTTCTTAGGCCTCTACTCGAGGGAGCAGGTAGAAGCGTAGTCGCAGCAGTAGGTGCTGTGCACTAAAGGTTTGGTGCTCTAGTGCACAGCACCTACCGTAGTGCACAGCACCTACTGCTGCGACTACACTGCTACCTGCCCCCTCGAGTAGGGGCCTACAATAACCCTCTTCCTTCGGCGCATTTCCTTGAAACAGTACTCCAAATATCACGAAATACATTTATTCATAGTTTTTCCGAAATTTGCTCCCCTGAAAATCCCCCCCACTCGGGGAGCTCGCCTCCTAGGCCCTGTGGCGAGGAGGCCTCCACTGGTGCCGGCGCTATCGCCAGCCCCAGTCTCCACGCATTTTCAGGCACCTCCAACGTATGCATATGAATTCATAGACAAATTGCCTTACTTTAATGCTAGTAGGAGGGTCCTGTCCTCGTCCAGTGTTGCGACCCCTTGTAGGTCGCTAGCTAGCTATCCTCTATAGGTCACCAGCAAGCCCCATTGTAGTGCCTGTGAACTATAGCCTGTGCACTACAAAGCCCGGCCTAATGCCTATGCTAATCTTCGTAGCCAGGTTGTCTACGATGCATGACTAGACTAAATACTAAAACAAAAAAAAACACTTAGGAATAAAAACAGAGAGCTCTAGAATAGAGCAATTCGTTTCAGATGGCTGACCCCGCAGTGTCTCCACTCGTCACAGGTCGCCCCCCCAGCCCCAAACTCCGGCTTGGCAGCGGACCGCAGGGGGATTAGCCGCCCTTAATGCCATGCAGATTGTACACAGCATTTTGCACCAATATTTTAGAAACGCTTAGATTTCTTTGCATTCTTAGGATGGCTTTCGTGCTTCATGGTAACCCCTGACGCTTCGCTGTCTTGCCCGGCGCTTTTTGTGTAAAGCATTCCCACAGGCTTCACGAAGTGTGCCACAAAACCTTCTCATGTCAATAAATTGTTGAGATTGCCTTATGGCTCACAGGTGCATTTTTGTCTGCCGTTAACCTCCAAGAACTGGCACAGTGGTGAGCCAGCTTCTAGTGCCCACTTGATCCTAGACAGCCCATTACCAGGCAAATCCCACTTCCTGCTATCTTGCTGATAGGCCACAGAGTCACGTAGCTCACTTTTTGTCGGTATATGGTACAGAAATGTCCTTGACGTCAACGGTAAGGGCACTGAGACTCAGGCACAGCTGTCCCACTGTATGAGCGAAGGTTGCTGCCATGGCGAATGCCTTGACAGCGGCAAAACCACTGCGCATGTCGGCTGTAAAGGGTATATACTTGCATCTTTCTCCAGATGGTGCTGCTGCGGCGAGAATGTCAAAAAGTATGCAACAGAAAAAAGCAACAGACGCTGCGAGTCCCAAAACCGTGGAAACACTTTTACCGCGTGTCTGGAAAAGGCGCACAAAAGCCGCGCCCAGGATTGATCCAGTTAGCGCAGCAGTTATTGCCAAAAACACAGAGTGCCAGCGAAGCAAAATTCCAGAGTGAGCTATAGCGTGCTCTCCCATTAGCGGCATTAGACCTGTGAATGGTTGCAGACATGCAGAGTCCCAGAAAGCCTGGTGAATCGCCACAGAAGCTAGTGGAAGGGCGACAAGCACTAACAAAAGTGCCTGAATTCCTCCAAAAAACCACCGGCTTGAAGGCGCTGAAGGACTACGTGATTCGCCCCCTTTTGATGTCTGGCGTACGCTCTTCAAGGCGAAGCCAAGGCCCAACAAGCGTGCTCCGTCAGCCACCAGGGGAAGAAATAACTGACAAAACGAGGAGAGTGGTGGCGAAAGAGAATGCTGTCCTGCTAAACGAGGAGGGTATCCTTGAATTCCAGCTCTTGCACCTTGCGGGGACTGTCCGAACAATGGTGGCTCGCCGAGAGTTTCATCAGCAGCATCAGAAGATACATAAAACAGTGGCCAATGAGAAGTATACGTTCTCAGCATGTCCCACAATATAAATCCCCCAAGAGATTTTAGAACATCTAATGCAATTTTTGTTTGTAATTCGGGAGGGTATCCTGTCTCCCGGCCTTTGCCCACCACGTGCCTAGAGGGCGAGTCCGAGAAAGCTGATCCTGTTTCATTGACACTGCAGTTTCCGGCTGCTTGTTTTGTCTTATGTAGGTTCTCCGTCGCTTTTAGATAGCACACATACGCGAGGCAGATGCCTGGAATGCCAGACAACAAGACCGGAATTGAGCCGGCACTACGCAGGAGAAAAGGCCTTATCATTCCCAACCGTTCGGTGAACAGCACAATGCATCCAAGAGTTGTTGTCAGAGCACAAATAAAACAGATCATCGATTTGCGGTTGGCTGGGCCGATTTCTCGCTTAAGGACGCTTAGAATAGCTCGAATAGAGGCACCATCACGAGACTTATTTGTTCCTACGGGCTGCCCATCCTTTCCGTCGTCGCCTCGTCGATGTTCAGGATGTGCCAACGCTTGTTTTTCTTTAGGCCTTTGACCTGCGTGGTAGTTCCACGTAGCTTCTAGCTCAGAAGTGTCCGGGCCATTGCTTGTCTGGCTGGTAGCTAAAGAGTCGTCGGACAAGACCAGTGCAAGATTTTTAGCAGCTTTCCACGGAGGGAGCTGCTGAGCTTCCTCAGGCAGACTTTTTGAAGTCAACTTATCATTAGATCCTGTTTGCTTTAGGAAGATGCCGCTCGTATCTGTTGGCGGGGACAAAGGCTGATCGCCGTCATTCCTTGATGACCTGTCAGCGATGTTACTTTGTCTTCTGCTCTTTGCCATGGTCGATGCCTAGCGGGATTTCGTATTAAGTGCGTTCTTTCGCAAAGATGAGTGTAAACGTCCCTTGTATATTCTTCCTGTAGGCTGCTACGAGTGAACAGTGGCAGTTCAAGTCGAAGGCTGCTGCTCTGCAGCCTAATAAAACAAGAGGACAGGGAATTTCTCGAATTAAGGACGCACTCCAGATCGATAGAAAGATCAACTTTGCACGAATATCCAGCACATGATTTGTAAATCGCTGGCGTTTCTATGGAAGTGTTTTTGAGCAGCAGTAAGGAACGGCGATCCTAGTGAAATTCCAAATGCTTCCAAGAATCTCCAACTGACAAATGCGCTACTGTGATCAATTCTTTGCACTACGCAAACAGTACCTAGACACTCTTGTCTTACATGTCCCGATTGCTGAAAATGGAAACGGAAGTGAGCAGATGTACGATCGAACGCGGTTCTCCTACTGGAACGGAACGGAGGCTTCTTCCAAGCCTGTTGGAAGAATAAGTATATCTTCTAAAGAACGTAAAAAAATCCAGTAAGTGTCAAACGCTTACGGTTTGATGGTTATTTTGTGCTTCAGCGTGTTAAAGTTGAAGGGACTTTCGTTACTGCTTATTGAGCCGTGGGGCTGCCCACCAGATGCATGCACTGCCTTATGGGGCTGGGTGACAGATGCAAGTGCTGATAAAAGTTTCAGTGAGCGAAAGCTAGCAAGGCTTTTCACAATTTGGACAATCCTTTCACTACCGTAGTCAGTTTTATTGCAAGCACAAGAAATGTGCAAAAAATGCAAAGCAGCACCAAAATTCTGGAAGGATCAGAACGACCCTATGTGCCATGGCACGCTGAAACAACTCTAGCTCTTAAAATTTGATGAAAATAAGAAAGGCTATTCCGCCGGCTTCATGGGCACTGGAAATTTGGGGAACTGGGTTGCTGAAGAACACAGCAAATCGGCC